AAGCAATTCTCCTGCCTCAGCCTCCCAAGTAGCTGGGACTACAGGTGCGTGCCACCATGCCCAGCTAATTTTTGTATTTTTAATGGAGACAGTGTTTCACTATGTTGACCAGGCTGGCACATTTTCTTTATTCATCCATTGATACGTACTTGGGTTGATTTCATATTTTGACTATTGTGAATAGTGCTGCAGTAAACATGGGATTGCAGATAAACTCTTCATTATATTGATTTCCTTTCTTTTGGATATATACCCAATAGTGGAATTGCTCGATTATATGATAGCTCTATTTTAGGTTTGTTTTTGTTTTTTTGAGGTGGGATCTTGTTCTATTGTGGGGACTGATCTTGAACAACCTGGCTCAAATTGTCCTCCTGCTTCAGTCTCCTGGGTAACTGGGATTACAGGCGCACACTATAGCACCTGGCTTATTTTTAGTTTTTTGAGGACCCTTTATGCACTTTTCCATAATGACCATACTAATTTCATATCTGAATTTTTAAAATAATAACCTGTCTAAGCAACTCTGAGCTGCTTAGATCAAAATACTTTGGAGTTATCCGGGTTCCTTGCTCGCTAACAAATACTCCACATTGAATTTACCAGCAAATCCTGATGGCTGTATTTTCAAAACATCTGAAATCTGAGTACATTTCATCACCTTTGCTACCACTGTGGTATAAGCTACTATCATCTCTCCCCTAGATTATTTCAGTAGTCTCCTTACTGGCCTGTTCTTTTCCCCTTGCTTCCTCTGTTCAGAAACCCCTAGTCACCTGTGTTACTCAGAGAAGCCAGTCTTACCTTAGCCTAGAAGATGCTACATGGTCTTATATTACCTCTCTGTCCTCATCTGCCACTCTTCCTCTTTCACTGTATTCTAGTCCCTCATCTCTTTGTTGTTCCTTGAACATTCTAGACATGTACCAGTGTCTTAGGACATTCATATTGGCTGTTCTCTCCACCAAGAATACTCAGCCTGGAAGCATTGGATGGTAGTCACATAACTTTCTCCCTTGCTGCTTTCTGATTGCCCGTTCAAATGTCCCTTTATCACAGAAGCTTTCCCGAGTATTCTGTATGAAACAACAGCTTCCTCTTTTTTCATTTCTTATTAGCCACACTGTTTTTACTATTTGTTTATTTTGTTTTCCCCACTAGAACATAAAGGGAGAGATTTCTGTCTTGTTCAGTACTAACAGAATTGCCTAGTAGTATACCTATAGTATTCAATAAATCTTTGAGAAAAAAAAAAAATCCCGCAAAAGGCCATTGGGCCTTTGCTTGAATACTTTCATTGATAGGTTTCTCTACCTCCCTTCAGAACAGTTCATTTTCTTTGAAGATTGTTGCTAATGTTCTTAAGCTTTTTATTCTTCCAAACTAAACATTCTTACTAGTTTACCTTTCTGCATATAATAGATTTTCCAGGGCTGTCACTATTTTAGTCATCTTCCTCGAACATTTGTTTGTCCTTAAACACCAGAACTAAAACAAGTTAGTTTGCACCAGAACTAAAACAAATGTTGCACATATAGGCTAAGAGTGAGAAATTTTCCTCGTCTAACTTTTATTGTCAGCTGATTAGATTTAAAAAAAAAGTGGGATTCTAATGCTGACTCACTGTGAGGTTGTATTTAATCCGCTACAATCTTTAAATCATTCTTTATATATGCTAGTAAGTTTCCTCTGCTTTTACAGTTGGTTTTTGAACGGTAAGTATGGGACTTTGTGTTTCTCCTTATTTAACCAAATAGGGAATTATTTCTTGGGCAGTTCATACCTTTAATGTAGTGACTACCATGTGTAAATTATTTTAGAAACTAATAGAAAAATTCAGATACATGTAGGAGAATCACAACTAATGAAATCAGTGATTTCTTATGACTAGATACAAACATGTATATGGACATTTCATTGCAACTGTGTGTCTTGCATCAAGCCAGGAAGGAATATTTTAAGAGTTTATTTAAGGCCAGGTGCTGTGGCTCATGCCTGTAATTCCAGCACTTCAGGAGTTGGTGGCAAGAGGATTGCTTGAGCTCTGGAGTTGGAGACCGGCCTGGGCAACATAGCAAGACTCTTAGGAAAAAAGAGTCGATTAAAAAAAATCGTTTTACTTTATAAATTTTTTCCCTTTGACTGCCAGATTAACCTCCTTTCCACATTTCTCATTTTTACCTCTTTATAAGCACCATTTTCCTAGTCTTTTAGGCCGGGATATTTTTTGTTTCCTTCACTGTATTTCTCACCAAATCTCAGAAATTCTTCAGCCATTAATTTCATGCTTTTCTAATTTACTTCACAGCCAGTTACTTTAGCTGTGCAAATCTCTCTGCTTCTAATCTCTCTCCATTGTAATCCATTCTATACTTGGCTGGCATATCAACCTTTTTTTAAAAAAATCACTTTTATCTTTTCACTCTTCTTCAGAGGATCTGTAAGATTAAGGTTCTCAGTCAGTCATTAGCGATCCATGTATAATCTAACCCTACTTGATTTACATTGCTTTGCTTATTTCTTTCATTACCCTCACTGTGATTTTTTTCAGATGAAATTCATGGCTTACATGCCAACCCCCTCCTCAGTAGATACACACACATATACACACACAACTGTCTCCTTAGTAGACACACACACACACACACACACACACACATACACACACAACTGTCTCCTTAGTAGACACACTCTCTCTCTCTCTCTCACTCAATCACTCTTTTCTCTCATCCACTCTTTTCTCTCACTCAATTGTGAGATTGGCTAGCTAAATGCTATTTTATTTCTCCATACTATGTTGCTTCTTGAATGTCTAAGTTCCTCAACACATACAACCTATCACATTCTCTGAAAACTCCATTCCAAATTGATCTCTGTTCCTTAAGCTTCAATTGCATTTATGTCTGTGCCACAAAAATATATCATTTAGGCTTGTTGCTTAATAGTTACATGAGGCTTTTCCTTTCAGTAAGACTGTGCACTTTGATAGCAAGGAATATAAAAGAGTACTGGATTATCCACAAACTGTTTGGCTTGGCTTGTACTGTGTCCTTTTATGTGTAAAATAATTTCTTACTGTATAGAATTATGTTTTTTAAAATTGATATTATTGGGAGAAGGCAAACATAAAAAATCTCTATTATAATTTATCTTCTAGGAAACCCTTTTCCAAAGAGAAATGAAGAGGAAAACTGTATATACCTTAAATATGGGAGATAAGAAGTATGAAGATATGGAAGGTAACTTTTCATTTCTATAAACTTTTCATTCTTATAAAGTTTGTTTGTTGAAAGCAAAACGGTGTTTCCAGACTGTCCACTTGTATACATTTCAAAATACACAAGGAGTTTTTTGTTTTTACTTACTTTTGTTGTTCTTAAATTCTGAAATAAGCTGCCTAAGTATATACATTTTTTTTCCTCCCATATTTTATTTTCAATTGATAAGTTTTTTGGTTTGTTATTCCCATTTTTCTTAAGCTTTATTCTCTACTGGTTTAGGAATTACTGTTTCTGTTTTTGTCTTCGTCTTTTTTAAAAAGAAAAAAGTTAGCATTGACACTATCCTCTGCTTCTGAAGCTAATTTAATTTTCACTGCCAATAGAAGAACCCAAGTACGCCTTAACTCTACATCCTAATCCCAGTTTATAGATTATAGTTCCATTATTTGAGTTCTGTTACTTCAAACACCACCAATTAGATGATGTTTTATGCAGGCAATGTTTGCTTATTTCCGCTTTATTTATTTTTTTTTCTTGAGACAGGGTCTCACTCTGTTGCCATGCTGGAGTGCAGTGGCGTGATCTCAGCTTACTGCATCCTCTGCCTCCCGAGTTCAAGCAGTTCTCCTATCTCAGCCTTCCAGGTAGCTGGGACCACAGGTACACGCCACCATACCCAGCTAATTTTTATATTTTTAGTAGACATGGGGTTTCACCATGTTGGGCAAGTTGGTCTCGATCTCTTGACCTCATGATCCAGCCAACTCAGCCTCCCAAAGTGCTGGGATTACAGGGGTGAGCGTGCCTGGCCTTATTTCTTTTCTTTCTGAAAATAAATCTGAGAAGCTTCTTTAGTGAAGGTCTATTGGTGGTAAACTCTTAAGTTTTTGTATCTATTTTATCCATTTTAAAACTATTCAAAGATAATTTTACTGAGTAGATAATTCTGGAATGATAGTTTTTTTCTCTTAGCGCTTTGAAGATATTAATCATATTTTTTTCCTTGTTGTCTAGAAATTTCTTCGCAGTCTAATTATTCTCTTGTAGGTGATCTGTCTTTTCCCATTTCCTGCTTTTAAGGTCTTGGTTTTATCTTTGACAGTTTACAGTTTTACTCCATTGTTTCTAGGCATGGATTATTTTTATTTCCCAATAGTATACATTGTGTTTCCTTTATTGGTTCATGTTTTTAATCATTTCCCAGCCATTACCTCTTTGTTGTCTTTATTCTCTTTTGGATTTCAATTAGCATGTTAGACCTTTCTGTGACCTCATTTCTTAACCTCTGTTTCACAAGCTATGTCTTATATTTCCTCTTCTGTTTCCTAGAGTCTAGCTAGTTTGCTCAAATTTGTCTTCCAGTTCACCAGAATTTTTTCTTTGGATCTAACCTGCTGATTATCCATTTTATGTGGTATTTGAAACTTCTGATATTTGAAGTTAGTGGATTTCTAAATGTGTTTCCTGCTGCTTCTCACTCAAAACAGCTTATTTTCTTAGGTTTGGTAATGTTTGATTATGAGCTCATACTGGATAAATTAAATTGATGAAGGCCTAATTTAGGTATTTTTTCCTTGAGAGGATTTGTATTTGTTTCTTCCGAGGCCCATGCTAGGACCTCGTTAGCCCCATTTAAGAGTCTTGTCTTGAGACTGGAGTCTGTCATGATTAGTTTTCCTTCCTGGGGTGGTTCCAAGGCTTAGTCTCCAGATGTAAACACTAGTGTGGACAGTTGTGCCCAGGACAATTCCAACTTTCCTTGATATTTACACTTCACATTTCAGCTGACCATTCCTTTATTTTTGTTTTATTTTTACGTCAAATTTCAGAGTATCTTATTTTCTGATGAATGAGCAATGCATACTTATGGATGAGGTGGTTACCTTACTTACTGGTGGGTGTTTAAAGTTGTACAAATCCCCCTCTAAGGAGAATAATTTGTTAATATCTATTCATATTACAAATGTATACACACATCACTCTAGCAGATCCATTTTAGGAACTTACACTACAGATATACTTTTTAAAATGTGAAGTAACTAAATTTTTATTGCAGCATTGTTTGTCATACCAATAGTTGAAAACAAGTGAATGTCCAATAGATTTGAATAATGAACAAAAAGCAGATTAGTGTGGATAGTATTCTAGCATTTGTGTGAAGGAAGGAATGTGGAAGAGTGTATTAGCATTTGTTTTCTGTGCATTAGAAATTCTTAGGAAGAACACAGAAGAAATTTAATAGTTGTTACTGGATTGGTTGGAACTGGATGGGGATAGATTTGAATAAGAAATTTGCTCTTAAATTTTTGAACCCTGTGAATATTACACTTACTTTAAAATTAATGAAAAGTTTGTTTCAATCCCCTATTAAAAAATCTAAGAGAGTAAATTTTGGGCATGTTGGGCTCAAGCAGTATGTTTGTTACAATTTATCTAGGATCTATTTGCTTTATAGTAAGAGGGCCCTTTAGATTATCCAGTCCAGTATACTCCTAGAAGCACAAGTTATTTGGTCTGGAGAACTTGAAAGCACATATGGCTGTTTTACTTTAACAGGTGAAGAAAACGGAGATAATACTGTTCCCACTGGTCTGTTGTACAGTGAGGCTGACAGATGCCCAATATGTCTTAATTGTCTGTTAGGAAAGGAAGTTGGTTTTCCAGAAAGCTGTAATCATGTCTTCTGTATGACTTGTATTCTTAAATGGGCAGAGGTAAGTCTGACACATTAATGTATTTTAATTTTCTAGCATGATTTTATTTCACCTAAAGAGTTGTTACTGCCTTTCATAAATTATTTCACAGTAATGTATTTTCTTCCTGCTTTGGTCAAATACTGGTATTATTCAAATTGTTATTTTCTTCTAATTTTCTTTTATCAGCTTTTTATTTAGCAAATAACATTTTTAAATGCATACTCTTTTTTAAAAAGTTAACAACCTATGCTGGGTGCATTGGCCCATGCCTGTAATCCCAGCAGTTTGGGAAGCTGAGGTGGGTGGATAACCTGAAGTTGGGAATTTGACCCCAGCCTGACCAACATGGTGAAACCCCGTCTCTACAAAAAAAATACAAAAGTAGCTGGGCATGGTGGTGCCTGCCTATAATCCAAGCTACTCAGGAGGCTGAGGCAGGAGAATTGCCTGAACCCAGGAGGCGAGGTTGCAGTGAGCCGGGATTGCACCATTGCATTTCAGCCTGGGCAAGAAGAGCAAAACTCTGTCTCAAAAAAAAAAAAAAAAAAAAAAAAAAAGAAAGAAAAAGAAAAGGTTAATAACCTTACAGGAAGAACAGATCAAACAATTTTTTCTGGTACAAATGCAATAATTCATTTTTTAGTGTACTTGACTCTGTACTTAACAGGATAATATCTGTTTACCACTAATAACACCGTCTGTCTGCTTTTTGTTTTGTATTTTTCAGGGAATTTTCACATAGGTTATTTGATTTCTTCTTTATATCAGCCTTGTGGAATAACCAGAGCAGATACGATAGTGTCCTTCCATTTTACAGATGAGGAAACTTGGATTTTATGTTCTATGACTTGGTCAAGATCTCATAGTTTAAGAGGCAGAAGTGAATTTAGAATTGATTTTCTAATTCCTGTTTTTAATTTAGTATGGACTAATTTCAGAGTCTGAATTAGAGATATTACCATCACAGACAGTGAATAAGAAACTGGACATTTTTGATTTTTAATGTATTATGTTGACTCAATTTGGGCCAAATACTTTGAAGTAAATATTAATTTATTATAAGCCTTATTGTTATGAAATGTTAAGTAAAAATTTATTGTTTATATTAATCATGCTATATTTTTTGAGTTAATAGTTTGTCAATCTGTAAAAATTAGTAAAGAAGATAATATCAAAAATATTTTAATAGCTCCATTCAAATTGTTAATGTTCTTAAATACATTGGAATTAATTGCATATCACATAATTCAGTTTTCAAAGTGCTGTGTTTTGCTTAAATTTTCATTAATAGTGTGGAAAGGAGAATATAACTGTATATTGACTCTATGGCTGAGTTCTGAGAAAAGGGAAGAGAAAATTTGTTAAACAAATTGAATTAATAATAGTATACATAGAAACTATTTTAGTAAAATCTAAACTGGTCTTTAACAAGAAGGGACACTAAGGATAGGTGAAAATGCATTTCGGGGAAAAGTATTTTGAGTTTTGCTGAATTACTATGGTTGGTAAATCTCTCCATGTGTTTGTAGGATCACTGTTTAATGGAATACTGCATGTTTTTTTCTGCCACCCAAATAAAGATTTTATCTGTGTTGAATTTAGTGCACATGGTTGCTTTGTGGTTAAATTTTTTTAGAGATTTTGCTTCGGGTAAATAAATCATATTGTTGGATGGGTGGAAAATTTCAATACAATGCTTTTCATAAGATTGTATTCAGTGACCACATAATTGTGAACTTCAACAACTTAATCTGAGTATATGTTTTTCTCTAAGAAAATTATAATGTATATATAATAAGTAGATATGGTCCTCCATCCTTTTTTACAACTTCATGTGCATCTTTCACACAACCGTAAGCTTTACCCTGATGTTCATATTCCAGATTTCTCTAGGTGTCTAGAGGTGGAATTGCAGGTTGTAGATTATGCACATATTCAACTCTACTAGATAGTGACAAACTTGTCTATATTTTTAACTCTTGTTGAATATTTTTAAGTTGAAAATACTGGATAACATACATAAGTATGGCACCCAACACCTTTCTCACATGTAATATTTTTCAAATTGCTTTTCAAAAGAAAGTACTTATCTGTTATACTGCTGTCATAAATTGGGATGTCAAGTGGGCAGGGAGGAGTTGTGATATTATTTAAACAAAGGTAATTAACCTTTAAAGGGAGAATAAACAGAATATTCTGAATTATTTCATTGTCCCTGATGGCGATAGCAGTCATCAGTTAAATAAACCCTTCAGTTGAGCAGTAACAAGAGAACAGTCTATTAATAAATTGCCTATTATGAATTATAAGTGAATGCTGGCTAAAAAAACTCTCGTAGACTTTAAGTTTTCAGTTTGAATCTTTTATTACTGTGATAAAAATAGCTATGTTTTGAAGCATGTAAATGCTTTGACAAATAGAATCAGATTTCAAATTCAGGACTGTGTTTCTTTTTTTTTTTTATCATTATAAATTAAGCTCCATCCTCTCATTTCCCTCAATCTCCTTCCATTTAAAAGCAAAATTTACAGTTTACTTTGTATTTCAGGATTAGGAATAAGTGTTTTCAGTCTCCTAACAGGCCATGTCTTATACTAAGGCTTTCTTACACATTTTGACATTTAATTTCATTTAATTCACTATGTTAATCTTTATTTGCTATACAAGACAAGGATTCTAAAATTGTGATTTTTAAGTACCTCGGGGATAGCATGAAGTTAAAATCTTTTTTAAAAAAATATCTGTGGCTTATATTTTTACAAATGTTTACTTTTTTTTTTTTGAGACAGAGTCTCACTCTGTCACTCAGGCTGGAGTGCAGTGGCATGATCTCGGCTCACTGCAACCTCCACCTCCCAGGCCAAGCGATAATTATGCCTTAGCTACTAAGTAGCTGGGATTACAGGCACATGCCACCATGCCAGGCTCAGTTTTTGTATTTTTAGTAGAGATGGAGTTTCCCTGTATTTGCCAACCTGGCCTCAAACTCCTTACCTAAAGGGTCCTCTCGTCTCAGCCTCCCAAATTGCTGGGATGAATGTTCACTTCTAGTAGAAGACTAGAAATCAAAGTGAGATTTACAGTGCTCAGAAATCTGCATAATAAGAGAACAGTACAATTTGCATTTAGGATCATCTTTCTAGATTTCTGTATCTTTCAAAATTTCTGTGCTTTCTGAGATTTGTGCCCAAGGTTCACTGAAATATGATTCAGAATGGATATCAGGCACCAAAAAAGGACTCATTTATTTACTTTTCATCTTAATATTTTAGGCATGGAACACATTCTTACAAACACTGGTCTTTAAGAAACTGGTGTTTTGAGTAATTAAAGTGTTTTGTGGTCTAGTATGTTTGTTTTGGTCACACAGATCAAAGTTAGTTTCAGTCTTTCCAAGCTCTAAAATTTCGGTTTTGTGGTTAAACAAAAGCTAGATAGGAAATTTAAAGTGATTAAGTAAAACTCTTTAGGTGTGTCATAGAATCCTCTTGGGGCAAAAGGATTCAGGGTGAACCTGTGATAGACTTCATGGCCCATAGCCTAATTGCCTGCCTTTAGGGACACTAGAACAAATTGAAATTAATTATGTCCACTGTGACTATTTTTAGTTTCTAGGAATCCATAGATGGTAAGCCTGTTGATTTATAAAATAATGATGATTATATAAAATAGAATATGGAACAGTGACACAATAATTGACATTAAGGAAGGCTGAAATTTTTGTTAATTTAAACCATCACTGTTAGAGCCAACAATTTGAAATTAAAAGACCTTTGAATGGATTAAATGTATATAGAACCAGTATACTAAAGTTTATCGGCTATTCAGTTAGAAGGTTATTTTACCCATACTGTGAGCAAAAAACAGATATATACTTATTGATAGCTTTTAATAAATTTATCTTAGCTTGCACAGTTTTATTGGGAAGGTAAAGGACAGAGAAGTCTTGACACACATTGTAGTAGTGACAATTGATTATAATTATGATTTCCTACAGACAAGATAATCTCCTACACACACACATAGTTATTAAGTAAATGGGATTTATTGACCAGGCATGGTGGCTCACGCCTCTAATCCCAGCACTTTGGGAGGTCAAGAAGGGTGGATCACTTGAGCTCAGGAGTTCAAGGCCAGCCTGGGCAACATGCTAAGACCTCATTTCTACTGGGGCGGGGTGGGGCGGCGGGGTGAGGAGTACAAAATTTAGCCAGGCCTGGTGGAGTATGCCTGTAGTGCCAGCTACTTGGGAAGCTGAGATGGGAAGCTTGGAGGATCACTTGAGCCTGGGAGGTCAAGACTACAGTGAGCTGTGATTGTGCCACTGCACTTCAGCTTGGGTGACAAAATAAGACCCTGTCTCAAAAAAGAAAAAAAGATTCATTATTTACCACAGTTGCTGAGAAGTGATTAAAACTTTGACCCTTAAAGGGTCATGGTTTGAAGACATATGTTTAAAGCATTTAAGAGTTCTTACACTATTTAATGGAAGCTGCAGCATATGTGATGAGGATATTTTTGATATCTGCTGGCATTCTTCTTCCTTTTAAGTAATATGAAATATTTCCCTTATTTTTTAAGTATTATTTTTTAAAATGTGATTAGTTTCCCATGGTAAGCAGATTATTCTTCCCCAATTTATTTATCTCAGTCATCTGTTTTGTATCAAATGCCAGTAGCTTCAATATGAGAGAGTAAGGTTAATGAAATCAAAATTGGGCAGTTGGAAAAAGCATCTCTCATGAAACTAGAAATAAAGTCTCATTTAGGTGACATGCAGTTCTTGAAGAAGTCAACAATGTTCAACATAGATGAGGATTATATTTTTGAATTAATAATGTATACCAAAAAATCAAGACATGAGTTGACTTACATCTGGACTACAAATATGTTTTATATACGTGCGTTTCTAAGTGGAAATTTCTCCATTCTGGTTATTAGACTACTTTTCAGTAATATAATTTAGTGAAGCTTTATTGTCTGGGATTTTTTGATCAGTTTTTCCTCAAATTCTAATT